AGGTAGATTGCCGACGAGGTCCCGGTAGCGGAACAGCCGGTTGCTGCGCTGCACGTACGCCACTCGTGCAGTCGACAGCGTGCCAAGCAGCTCAACGGTTTTCGTGAGCTGATGAAGCCGACCACACCGTCTCACCACCGGCATCAAAAAGTCCCAGGTACATGTGTACATACAGTGCTATGTAATGTATGCTAGGCAAGCCGTCTTCAGCTCACTGGTCGAAGTCCGGCTCCTCGTCAGTGCGTTAAACGGGAAAGGTTGCTCCGCACGCACGGATGCACCTCGTCCTCTCCTTCCGCGTCCACATAACATACCAACATACGCGCGCATGCACATGGTGTGTTAATACAGCCTTTCTGCTATAATGGTAGTTGCAGCGAGCGACTTGGCATGTACTCAGAACGAAATAACCATATCAGTGGCTTCCCGCCACCATGCGCAGAGCCGTGCGCAGTACCGCCGTGACTGCGCGGGTGATTGCTAGGATGCTGTTCAGAGTAAAGCTTGAAGCCGTCGACGACGACGACGACGACCTCTGGCGATCATGAACGTTGCCGTTCCTGAAAAGACCTTGCAAGGCGATGGCCTGCTGCTCCCGGGCGCGTTCGACCGTCCGAGACGCCGCTTCTTGATCTCACGACACTTCGTCGGGCTCGCGCTCCTGTTGTCGCTCGTGCTGTGGACGAAGGGCGTGGACCTGAACCAGGGCTCGACCTCTCGCGACTCGAGTGCGGCCCCTGCGCGTTCGGGATGCTCGAAGGATGGCCTGCAAGTCGCCGAGTTTGACTGGGATGCGGTGAGTTCGCGATAGGGCCCCTCTTGAGTTGAAATCAGGACGCGCTGGTCTTACGAACGATGGCGTCGTAGGTCGTCCCGAGCGAGAAGCTAGTCTGGCACGCCTGCGAGGACAAGTTCGAATGCGCCCGACTCTCCGTAAGCCCCCCTCCTCCACACGTATCTGCGCGCACAACTCATCCTGACGTACGATTGTAGGTGCCGCTCGACTACTCGAACCCGGAGGGAAAAAAGGCTGCGATCGCGCTCATGAAGATCCCGTCTAAGATCGCGCCTGACGAGGAGGGCTATCGTGGGCCAGTTCTGTTCAACCCAGGTGCGTCCCACCACGCATGCAAACCAGTGCAGGCCGTGAAGCTGACCCCCTTCGACTCCCTTCTCAGGTGGTCCAGGCGGTTCTGGCGTGGACCTGATCAAACGCGCCGGCGAACAGTTCCAGCAAATCCTTGGAGGTACGTGTACCGTCCGGAGCCCGCATTCTCACCCGACGCTCACCTTGCCCGCAGACGACTACGACCTCATCGGGTTCGATCCGCGAGGTGGGTACCCACCCTTTGAGCATCCTTCGCCAACCACGTGAATGACGCTTCGCAGGTATCGGGCGCACTACGCCCGGCATCGTCGTCTTCGATGACGAGGGCGCTAGCGTCGCCTGGCAGCTCACACACGGACCGGTTTTGAACGCCACCGACGAGGCACTCGCACGCGCCTATGCCCGCGCCCAGGTCTTTGGCGGCCTCGCGGCGGACCGCGTCGGTGAGGCTGCGCAGTACGTGAGCACGCCCATGGTTGCGCGCGACATGCTCAGCATCACCCGGGCGCACGGGCGGGAGAAGTTGCTCTACTGGGGATTCAGGTCCGTCACACAGCACGCAATCGAAGGAATCTGGGCTGACCCGTGTTGTGTTAGTTATGGAACCATCTTAGGCATTACGTGTGTCTTGTCCTGCCACTTCTGAGATTGCGGATGCTGATAACCCGACCGCAAGCTATGCGTCCATGTTCCCCGTACGTTGGCGCGAATATGAGTGGTGGTCGAGTGACGTTCTCATCCGATTGAATGCACCCAGGACAATATCGACCGTTTGATTGTAGATGGTAAAGGGGCAAAGTCAGGCGTCATATGAATCGCTCTCACCTTCTTGCAGGCGTAGCCGACAGCGAAAACTACATGAAAAGTACGCATTTCATACTCGTCCGAATCGTCATGCGAGGCTGATTAGATCCCCCCCCAGCGCTTTGGTCCAACAACCTCCGCGACACCGACAAGGTCAAAACGACTGCATTCTCCTTCCTGCATTCCACGCTGATCCCACGTCATTGCAGGTGCTCGACCAGTTCTATACCGCCTGCGCCAACAGCACGTCCTGCGCCCTGCACGAGCCGACCCCCTCCGCCATTCAATCGCGCGTAGACGCGCTGTTTGCCAAGCTCAAGCGGAACCCGATTCCCGTCTCCCTCAACGGCACCAACTACGGCCTCGTCGACTACACCCTCGCGCGCCAGGTCGTCTTCGGCTGGCTCTACAAGCCTTACCAGAAGTCTCCCCTCAGCGCGTCTTCCCTCGCCTCTGCGCTGGAAGCGCTCGAGCGCGGCGATGGCGCGGCGATGTGGGCCGCGCATGCGCCCGAGCCCACGATGAAGTGCGATTGCGCGCGCGACGGTCCGGCGAAGGCTGCGGACCGGGAGACGACGCTCGCGATCGCGTGCGGCGACGGAGAGCCGGTGGAACGCGACCTCGAGGAGCTACGGGCGTTCTACGACGACATGGCGCGCGACTCCGACTTCGCCGAGATCTGGTCTGTCCATTTGGATTGCGCGTGCGTATTCTCTCTGGTCTTGTTCTCTGGCGCCGACGATCCCCATCGCTGTCACTCATTGGGCTCTATAGGGGATGGAAGATACAGTCAAAGGAGCAGTTCCATGGTGAGTTCGGTACTGGAATGTAGCGCATTGGATGGATCCTCGACGTTGCGGACCAGGACCTTTCGCCGGCAACACCAGCTACCCGATCCTTCTCATTGGCAACACCGCCGACCCCGTCACGCCTCTTTGGAAGTGCGTGTTCTTGTCGTCCATCGTTGTGTAGCACAAGTATTGACAGGAAGCCGTAGCGCTCACAAGATGGCGAAGGGCTTCCCAGATGCCGCCGTTCTGACGCAGAACTCTGCTGGCGTAGGTTTCCGGTAGACCTCTGGCAGGTGTCCAGGCTGATCTCGCCCCCCCCTCCTCGATTAGCATTGCTCTCTCGCTGGCGCGTCGCTGTGCACGGCGAAGTACGTGCGGGACTACTTCCGCGAGGGGAAGTTGCCGCCTGCGGGGGCCGTATGCGAGATTGAGGATGAGCTGTTCCCATCCTCGGACGTCAAGCAGGCAGGAGATATGCTTAACCACGACGACAGGGTGTTGCTCGATGCTGTGAGGGAGCTTAGCGACAATTTCGAGGTACCTCGTCTGCATTGACGGTTTTTCTTTGCGTATGCGCTGCGGCATAACAAGGATGTAGAGTACTTGAGGTCGAACGCGACTACGGCTATCTTGTGCCTATATTCCACATATACTTTGGTGATATTGCCCGACTATGGTTCCCAATCACTGAGCAGGCAATGCGACAACTATCATCTCCTCCGAGATATTGAGATTCCTGAAGGCGCCCTGACGAGATGAGTTAGCGTGAGGCGGGTGGTTTGTAAGGTTGCTCCGTACGCGCGGATGCACCTCGTCCTCTCCTTCCGCGTCCACATAACATACACATCGTCCCGACGCCGCACGCGATCAGCGTTCCGCGTCGGTACGATGTGTATATCCGCCCTTCCGCGTCTTCCACCCTCGAAAACGTATAAAAACCCAGCATTCCGCTCGTACTGACCTCCAGCATTCTGGACTTAGCCTTCGCATCTCCTTCGATTCCTTACACGCACTTGGCACATCTTCAGGCTAACAGTCATCCATAAACTTATCTATCGTCTAGAATGCTCTCCACGCTCTTCGTCGTCGACCTGCGCAGCCAGAAGGAGGCCAGGGCCGTCGACTCGCGCGCCCCTAAGCTCAACCGCTTCAGGCTTAGGATGCCGACGCTTCCGAAGCTCCCGTCGTCTGCAAGGGGGCTGAGGAGATTGGCGATGAAACTGCGGGGTTCTCGTACGTTCATCATCGCGTCTTCCCTCTCTTTATCGGCACGCAGGCTGACGCGAGTTGGCAGGTTCAGATGAGGTATTCGACGTCAAGGAGGTGGTGCTCGCTCAGCTACACGGCCTCATCGATTCCGGAGTCTACGTGGACCTTTACGAGGTTGCCCATTACTACGCGGGAATATGCGGGGTACGTCCGCTCGCGTTCCGATCCCTTTCGTACACCGACCGAACCCCACAGGTCGAGTACTATTACCTTGTGATCGAAGAACTGACGAAGGCCGGCTTCTTCTGAGGCCGGGTTCGTGGGGCCTCGGGCTTGCCTCCCGGTGGCCTCTGGGACTAGAGCGCGAGTCCTACAGGCACGGTGCACCTCCATGCGCTCGAAGGGGTCGACGTTGTCATTGGCGTTGGCCCTGGAGGAGGTGTCACCATCCCCGATGTTGTTCCCGCACCCAAAAGCACGGAAGACGCCGCCGGATTTGAGGCCCGAGTTTTCGACCCTTATGGACCTCGTCACGGCAGCGGATGCGGACGGGGAGGACGCCGGCGATGCCTTGGAGCGTCGTCGTGCGTTGCTTGCCAGATGCCCCGTTTGCACGGGCGGGGGCCTTTGGAGTCGAAGAGGAGGGACATGGTTGCTGCTCGCGGTGTCTAGGTCGAGAGCGGGACGCCGCGATTGGCCGGGCGCTCGACGGCATCTCATTTCCACGCGCGACGTCGGTGCGCCAGCATGCAGTACGGGACGTTCGGTACGTTCCTTCTCCCACTCACCCTCACCTATCACGCATCTGACACTTTGTTGCAGGCCGAGTACGGGACGCCGGGCTCGACGGATATCCGCGTCTGTGCATACTTCAAGAAAATCGGGAAAAAAAACGGAAAAGTCAAAATCGAAAAAAGAGACTGGACGGATTGGGATCGGGATTGGAATCGGCTTTGATAGTTTTAGATAGTTAGATAGATGGTTGTGGCGCACGGACATTGATTTGCCAGCTAACCTTCTGACGCTTTCTTTCTTCCTAGCTTTCAGCTGCCCTCGTTTGGTCCACCTGGTCCCCCTGGTCGCTGGTCCCCTGGTCCCCCTGGTCGTTGGTCCCCTGGTCCCCGCGGTCGTTGGTCCCTTGGTCGCTGGTCCCCTGGTCCCCTGGTCCCCCTGGTCGCTGGTCCCCTGGTCGCTGGTCCTCAAGTTCAAGGTCTCCCAGAATAGGATCGCTAGCGTGTAGCGCTGGCGATCCGGCAGCCGGCCTCTTCGTGGCCTGGGGGATTAGTACCCTTCGGGGGAAGCCAACGGCTGTTTTGGACCTTCAAATCTCGAGGACGCTCGCGGTATTGGAATGCCGGTGAGTCTTGATTATCTTCTCGTTCCGATATTAACTGACCACACCATAGGCAACGTTTGATGTTAGCGTGGTATCGCGTCAGAGAGCAGTGAGTGAGTGATCCGCCTCCCCGCTTTCGTGGACTTTGCTGACGTGTCCTTGCGCATTGTCAGAACGTATCGCACGGCCCAGTCTATCGCGCCGCGGTGGCTGCATTTCGGATACCGGTTCGAGCAGCGGCATTGCCATGCGTCTGACTTCAGTCATACGCGTTCGAGTTTCGCGTGCGACCTGAGGAGTGATTGGCAGTTTGGTGCGACTTTGGTGATGCGGCGATCCGATCCCGAGCTCACTGTCACGGTCAGGGATGAATTGTGAGGTACGTGGTGGACAATTCGTAAAATGTAACATGGTATATAGCCCAATATTGCGGCAATACATTAAGTCTCGCCTTCCGCGCAGTGTGTGGTACTTGTCCAGTAAACAGCACGGACGTCTGCTCTCGTTGGAGGCCTTGTAATGCGCACGTCTATGGAAGATATGTACTGTATGAACATCTCAGCATCGTGTATGACGTCGTCCGAGGGCGATAGCTGATGACGCGACGTCTGAGTTTACATATGGTAGTTGCGCACTTGCACTTTGCCCCGACCGCGTCTTCGAACGGTACCGCTATCAATCCCTGCTCAGCGCGCTTAGCCGAGAGGAAAACACGGTATGTACAGTACCACCATCTCAACGCACATGTGACGTGAACTCCGGATTGGACCGAGCCCGGCTATGGGCATACTCACTCTAAGGCAACTCGCACCTATGGTGTCTGCGGGTGCTATATAGGCGAAGTAACAAGAAGGATATGCAAGGACATGATCATGGATGCAACTATGGGTTCCGGTCGTGTGAAAGTGGGCCAATTCGGGTCTGCTATGCCAGCCTTCCCACCCCCTCGATCGCCCAGTGCTCTCGTGAGTCGTGAGGCTGCATTTCTTACGAGACTGCCTTTGTCTTTGCCATCCACCTCATTTCCAATTGATTCTAGCTTAGTCCAACAGCCGTCTGTCGATGGCGCAACTCGTCCAGCAGCAGGATCTTGGAGGCTGCGGCGTGGCGGATGGATTGAAGACGTAGAAGTTCCTGATAAGGTCTGTCAGCGAGAAACATCATTTTGGTGATCTCAAGAGCGCGTGTGCTCGTGATTTTGGCTCGAATGTATACCAGTCTAGTGCCAGGCTATTAAAAGGATGCTATCGGTGGATGAAAACGTGGCCAAGGTGAGTGTCTTCCTTCGGTTGTCCATATTTACATTGGATAAGCTCACTACCATGTGCCATGCACGGTAGCTATGTACGTTATCGGGGACATCTTCTGCACCGCGAAGGACGTGCACTACGGATCATTGCTGCTATACCCAACAGTAGCTGGCTGCGTGTCCTGCTTGCACGATTGAAGAGAATACTCCTTCCTTCGAAATGGATTGAATATAGCAGTTTATGCGGCACCTATTACGCTGAAGAGCGGAACGCGATAATATCCCTTCAAGCCTTGTTCTTCAAGTTGAAGGGTCGCTGCCGACGCACCGTTCTTGGAATCAGAAGACCTTGTGTCGCGTGCTGATCTTAGCCTCGGAAGCAGGCAGCCATCCTCGCTGTGAGCATTCCATGCCCACTACCACACGCGCCAAGCCTTTCGTTTATCAGACAAGGCCAACGCCTACGTACATGTGTCCTGTGCAGATTCTGAGCCCAGTTTGGTCGCGATGATCCGCGAGCAAGGGCAGAGCAGCGTCGGGAGATCTCGCACCAAGTTCGCGGATTTCAAAAAACAGCTTCCGGGGTCTTGGCATCCCTTCGAGATGGACCAGTCTGAGCCGAACCATCGAGTATGTGGAGCCTTTCCCCACGCGAGCCTCGTGTGTCGCATCCCGAGGCTGTCCCGGAACGGTTGTCGATACGAGCAGAAGTCGATAAGCCATATGCGAATTCGTCCAGCCTTGTCTGCGCGACCTGGTCTACTTCTTCTGAGCACTTCAGCATCTCTCTGCGTAGGGCCGAGGCTGGCTACCGCATGCATGCAGGATCCGCCCGGTTAGACATGCACATTGTCCGTCCGTATCTTGCCACAGCCGGGACTTATTCCGACACATTCTCCCAATATAAATAAGGTGCATTTGCATTGGATCTCGTCAGGTCGCGCGCTCCCGACAAGGCCCCAAAGCAGCAGTTCTGCTCGTTCGCTGTGACAATGTTCTCGAAGAAATTCATCGCCTCTGTCTTCCTCGCAGTCTTCTGCGTATCGCCTGCTCTCGCGACTCCTACCGATGCCTCCAACATGAAGCGGGCGCTTGACCACGCCACGCTCCGAGTCCGCCAAATTACGCCGGACTTCGCGCTCGAGACTTTCCACCCTGAGTCTGACTTCGAGGTATGCGTTGATCTATAACCCTTGGAGCCAAACTGACGATCACTCGATATGTTCTTTGTAGACGTTCGGCGAGGGTATCGAGCATCCGCATTCCAAGCGGGCTACTTTTCACTTCGGCGACGCCGGCAAGGCCTTCGCTGCTTCGAAGCTTGGGCTGGACGAGAGCGCCATCAAATATCACTCTGGTTACGAAGGCGAGGTTTCCAGCCATGCGTTCTTCAGGCAAACACACGAGGTTGTTTACAGTCATAGACTCCTGTCCCGTTGCTGATACTGGATGACACTCACAGGGCGTACCCTTTGCCAACGCCGTCGCCAATGTCGCCTTTAACAAGGTTCGCTGAGTTGTTATAGCCCACTATATTCCAATCTCACAGGTTTTTATAGGACAACAAAGTCGTGACGTTTGGTTCCAACTTTGTTAAAGCATGTCCGTATTCCTCGCCATTCTCCTGCGGGGTAAAATAGTCTAACATAAGATGGTGTAGCAAACATTCCCCCCTCAGCACCTTCGGTGGCTTTGGAGGATGCTATCAAGACCGCTGAGGCTACCCTGAACGGCAAGTTCAACGAGCACCCGCCCACCCTCGAATACGTCGCCCTGAAGGACGGCTCCGTCGCTCTGACGCACGTCGTTCAGATACAAGACGAGACCACCGGCGCGTGGTATGAGGCTTTCGTCGACGCTCACGAGAATAAGGTCCAGACTGTTACCGACTTCGTTGCAAAAGCCTCTTGTGAGTCGAAGGATATTCGAATGCTGAATCGGTCTTGATCTTCCTGGTTCCAGACCGAGTCCTGCCTATCACGAAAGAGGTGCTCACCGAAGGCTTCGAGACGCTCACCAACCCGCAGGATCTCAGCGCTTCGCCCGCTGGATGGCATAGCACGGATGGTACCACCAACTCCACCACTACATCGTCAGTATTCCTCCAGCCTTCATGTAGAGCCATCGTTGACTGGTTCACAGGGGAAACAACGTGATCAGCTACAAGAGCTCCATGACGACTGGCCTCACTACTCAGAGTTCCACCGGCCTCAATTTTATCTTCACCCAGAACCCGAGTCAGGCGCCTACTGTCGCGGCAAACCTCAATGCGGCTCGCACGGTATGTGATGGAACAAGTTCAGAAATTGAATGCTAACGCTGTATGTGGTACAGAATAACTTCTACCTGGTCAACACGGTGCATGACATTACGTACAAATACGGATTCACTGAGGTGCATGTTTTCTGACTGAAGCTCTTGAACTCGATTTTGACGCATTTGGCACACTGTAGGCGGCGTTCAACTTCCAACAAAACAACTTCGGCAAGGGCGGAACTGGAAACGATAGGGTCACTGCGTCCATCCAAGACTCGGCCGGTACTGAGTAAGTCGCATTATGGTCTGGTGCCGACTGTTGTGTTCTAACAAAACTGTTGCGCAGCAACGCTGGTATGTCATTTGCTGCCAAGAGCTGCAGCGTTTCTGAGTAATGCTTTCTTAGACTTCGCGACCCCTGGTGACGGACAAAGCGGCCACATGAGGATGTTCCTGGTATGTGGTCCCATATCGTTGGCGATGGCAATTCAACATCACTCCATAGTGGGACATAACCAACCCTGAGCGCGATGGGGCCCTCGAAAACGATATCGTTGTTCATGAGAACACGCACGGTACTCTGAACTATTTTCTTACTGCGGCAACAGGAGAATTGACCTCATCCGCGCCAGGTGTTACGAACCGCATGACTGGCGGTGGTACAGGTCGTTGCCTGCAGACCACCGAAAGCGGAGGTATGGGAGAGGGATGGTCCGATGCTATGGCCGAGTGGACCGAGCACAAGGATGCCACCGTGCCGGACTACGTTCTTGGCCAATATGTCGTCAACGACGCCGCGTAAGCTCTCCTCCTCGACACGATGATGGTCGATTTCTAACAGGATACTTGTTTACAAGTGGTATCCGTTCGCACCCCTACTCCACATCCGCGTATGTCTCCTTCATAACTTAGTACAATCCGTACCTGACATGGCTTGCCAGGATGACCAACCCTCTTCGTTACTCGAGCTTGAAGACCCTCACCGAGGTGCACGACATCGGCGAGGTCTGGGCCAATATCCTGCACAACGTCTACGCCGCGCTCGTCTCGGCCCACGGCTTCTCCGCGACGGCGCACACGGACCCGACCGGCACGGCGGGCAACGTGGTCTTCCTCCACCTCTTCCTCGATGCCCTCCCGCTCCAGCCGTGCAACCCGACGTTCGTCACTGGTCGCAGCGCATGGATACAGGCGGACGTGAACCGATACGGAGGGGCGAACAAGTGTATCCTGTGGAACGCGTTCGCGAGTCGCGGTCTCGGCGTCAATGCTGCCAACCATAACGATGATACGTCGGTGCCCTCTGGCTGCTGAACAAAGGTGTTGCTTTCATATAACTGCACTTGTCGGTTCATTCAATGGTTGTACAAGGCTATGTATACGTAGCCAAATTGGACCTATCGCGCGAAATGATAATGAATATTTCTTATCGTTCTGCCACCAACTCTCCTACAGTATTGTAAGACAAACATGCCTGATTTGATTTGGAAGAAGCAAATGTTTGCTGCATATGGTGGGAGGACTAGGTGGTAGTGGTGGTGGTGGTGTATGATGCGGCACGCGACTCGTGTATTCTTCCGTCTTCCGTTCTCGGTTACGGCCATGTCCACAGTTCAGGCTCAGGCTCAGGCTACTGACCCCAATGCAGGCTTCATATGGAGAGCCCAGAAGGTCTTCCTGTATCTAGGCGTATTGTACGCGTTGCTCCTCGTTGCCCTCACGATACCACTTTTCCAACTCCAGTGAGTGTCCGAACGGGATCATGTCGTTGACACGTTCTAACTAAGTCGCAGTGCTGTTTACTTGCATGCCCTGAAGTTCCCTCTCTTTGCTGATTTCAACACACCGGAGAAGTATGGGTTTGCACGTAAGTGTATCCTGACTGTAGCGAATCCTTGGCCTTACCAAATGGGCAGCTCACAAGACGCACAACCTCCGCCTGACCGCGTCCGATAACACGACCATCGGCGCCTGGCTCGTCCTCGCCGACGCGTCGCACCTCGCCAACCACACCGTCCCCACCGCCCTCTCCTCCCATCCGACCGTCATCTATCTCCACGGCAACGCCGCCACGCGCGCGGTGCAGTTCCGGGTCGACCAAGTCCAGGCGTTCTCATCCAGGCTGCAGACGAACGTACTCGCGATCGACTACCGCGGGTTTGGGGACTCGGACGGCCTCCCGAGCGAGCACGGATTAGCGCTTGACGCCCGTGCGGCGTGGGACTACCTCGTGCAAGAGAATGGGGTTGCTCCGGCGGACATCGTGGTGGTGGGGCATAGCTTGGGCACGGGGGTTGCGGCGCGATTTGCGAGCGAGTTGGAGAAGGAGAATGTGCGGCCGAGGGGCCTTGCGCTACTTGCGCCTTTCTCGTCCATCAGGGAACTGTTGGACACGTATTATCTGGCGGGATTCATACCCCTCCTGAAGCCTCTCGCTTTCATCCCGGGCGCAGCGAGTGAGTACTCTTCATCCTGACTGATTGCTTATTGCCGACGCCCTCAAAGCCGTTGCGAAACGTTTCGTCTCGCATAATTTCAATACGCTATCTACGATCCACGTACGCACTCCCTTTACCTTTAAACCTTCAGTGTTCCGGTCCTGACCCTGCCCGCCAGAGCATCAAAGCGCCCCTGGTGATCGCCCATGCCTTGAACGACTGGGACATCCCGCCCACGCATTCCTCCGTCCTCTTCGACTCCTTCGTCGCGCCACATCTCCCTCCTCTGCCCTACATGTTCCAACTCCAGACGCAAAACCCGCTCGCGCAACTCCAGCACTCGCAGAAGCAGTGGGAGGAATTACAGGCGGCGTTGCAGAAACGGGCGGAGAAGCGCAGTGAGTGGGTGAACAGCTGGGAAGTTGAGCGGCTGGGTGAGATAGAGGAGCTGGATCGCGCCGCTGCGTTCGGGGGTGACGAGGGGAAAGTCGTGAAGGTGATCACGAAGTATGGCGGGCATGATAGGATAGGGCTGCAGGAGGGCCTGCAGGATCTGTTGGCGGACGTATTCGGGCTTCGGACATGAGATGATGATGGATATTGAGCTGGGATAGCAATTTACAGGTATGTGGGTAGGATATTACACTGGTGCCACGGTTATTGCTGAACTGATTACTTCCTTCCTGTTACAGTTTTATAGATGCATAATGTGTCTGTTGGAGTGGATTATAGTCCTACATGTTCCGCATACGAGACATTGGGTCTACGAAGCCGATCAGCGTCAAGTTCGCGTGTCCGCTGGTGAATGTGAACGCACTTTTCATTCCGACACTTTGGGAATGACTCGTGAGCTCGTCTTGCGGCGCTCTGCTTTCAAGGTTGAACGCGTTTTTGTCTGTGACGCGATGCTCTCGGTATCATTGCGTTCTCTGCTCGACTGTCACAGACGCGCGTTAGTCCTGGGATGCAGTAAGAATGGTTGCGTGCACTTACGGACGATCTCCTCGAATGCATCGACATATCTTCCATCTGGAATATCATTGGGCGTTCCTCCTTCGTGGCAGGGGCCACAAGCGGCGTGTTGAACAGCAACGCGGTCGTTTGCGTCAGGGAGGTCAACATAGATGGCATCATTGTTGCAAGTGTTTCGATGGAGGATTATTGGCTGTGGTGAGAGGGTCGGGACGAGGGAGAATACTGGCCTTTGTACCGCTTCACCCCCGCAGCTATATCGTCCATCGGTCGTCCCGCGTTTGCCGCCGTGGAACGTCATCCCGGTTTGGCCAGTATGGAGTACGACCGCAGCGGCTGCTCCGCATTCGCGTCCCGGCGCCGGCAGCGTCGGCAAAGGCGCGTACCGAGATGACACATTGGGCTTGACTAAATAGGTCACTGCTGGCCACGTGGCTGTAGAAGATACCCCGCGATTTTATCTCTTGCGGGGTGCCCGAGTTTGCACGATGACTTCCTCCGCCTCGAGCCAGCCCAGGAAGGTTGCGATCGTTACCGGCGCTTCCTCAGGTGGGATAGAACTCGCATGTACGCAAGCGGCACAGTTGTTTGATGACGGTCTATAGGTATCGGTCGCGCTACGGCCATTGCATTGTCGGGAGCAGGATGGACGCTCATGCTCGCTGCTCGTCGCGAAGCCGAACTAGCGGAGACTGCAAAACTAGCGGATGCCAACTCTAACGGGACCGGAAACGCAGCTAAGTACTTAGCAGGTGATATCACGGACGAAGTCTTCGTACGGAGACTTTTCGACGAGACTGTCGCGCAATTCGGTACGGCTACAATGTTAGCGCCGTTCCATTTGAGCGCTGACTGTAGTACCATATGAAGGAAGACTGGACCTACTGTTTAATGTGAGCCTTGCGTCTCCCAGCTCTATTGGCGTGAGCTGATGTCGTTGCATAGAACGCAGGGATCGGTTCGCCCCAAGTGCCCATCGACGAATTGCCTGTTTCCACTTTTAAGAACGTTATCGACGTGAACTTGACCGCCTCGTTTGTATGCACCCGTGAGGCTTTCCGGGTCATGAAGGCACAATCACCTCCGGGTGGTGGGTTATCTAATGCATTGCAGTGCAGGCAGCCTACTGATCGAATTCTAAGGGCGGATAATCAATAACGGATCGCTTTCCGCGCACGTCCCGCGCCCGCATTCTGCGCCGTATACGATGTCCAAACACGCGATCACAGGGCTGACGAAGTCGACCTCCCTCGACGGTCGCGCTCACAACATCGCCTGCACGCAAATAGACATCGGTAATACACTGGTTTCACCTATCTTCTCCTGTATCGATGTATGGTGTTGATCGCCGTCTCGCAGGCAATGCGCGCACCGACATGGCCGCCCGCCTCGGAGTCGGCACCCTCCAACCGAATGGCCAGGTCGTAGCCGAAGCTATGATCGACACGCGCCATGTCGCGGATTCCATCGTTCACATCGCATCGCTACCTACGGATGTCACCGTCCTGACTTTCAACATCATGTAAGTACCTGTATCTACTGATGAAGGTCCTCATGGTGTCTGTTCGCTAATCTGTGCTTATGCAGGCCAACGGCGGCCCCCTTCGTCGGACGCGGGTGAAGGAAACTGAGCGCTTGCTAGCGATCTCTGGATACAGTGATGCAGATATCAGTACCTGTTTGATGATGCAAAAAAATCATAGGAGCTATGCACATCTGTTCGGAGACGCGAATGAACGTTTATGCCAAGGGTACGTACATATTAATGATTCCGGAGCACCGTTCCGAGTCCCGAGTCGCGGACGGGACGGACCGCCGGCTCTGACACGTAGTAGTGCACCTCACCCCGCGATCTAATCTTATCTCTTGGTGTTTGGGCCATGACTGCCACCTTCGCCTCCGCGGGCCTGCAACGGAAGATCGCGATCGTTACAGGCGCCTCGTCCGGTACGACAAAAAAGGAATGCTTTAATTACCTCTATCGACATGTTCTATTTAGGGATCGGTCGTGCTACCGCTATCGCGCTGGCGGGAGCGGGATGGACTCTCATGTTGACTGCTCGTCGCGAGGCCGAGCTTGCGGAGACCGCCAAGCTTGCGAGAGCAATCTCTACGATCTCAGGAGTAGAGACAATATACTTGGAAGGCGACATCACCGACGAAACATTCGTACGCAAGCTTTTCGACGATACCGTTGCCCAGTTTGGTGGGCGATATCGATAGAATGCTTTAACTCGAGAGCTAACATCCCCCATGAAGGGAGGGTGGATCTATTGTTCAATGCAAGCTTCGCACATGAATACGTGCGCTCGCAGCGACTGACATAGAGGATAGAACGCAGGTATCATCGCACCACAAGTGCCGATTGACGAGCTTCCCGTCTCGGCTTTCAAGAGCGTCATCAACGTGAACCTCATCGCCGCGTTCATGTGCACTCGCGAAGCTTTCAGAGTGATGAAAGCCCAGAACCCTTCCGGCGGTGATTTTTCACGATTGTCACGATGCCTTCGTGCACGAATCTCTCATCATCTTGGATCATTCAGGTAGAATCATAAACAACGGGTCCCTCTCGGCACATGTACCTCGTCCACACACCGCGCCGTACACGATTTCCAAGCACGCGATCACTGGACTGACCAAGTCAACCTCTCTGGACGGACGATCGCACGGCATCGCCTGCACACAGATTGACATTGGTGCCGTGGCAATGGTCTGTCTCTTCCGCGACGTCCCCTTGACAGTGATATCCGATCAGGTCCTACACGCACTGAACTGGCGGCCGGCATTGACGTCGGTGCTCTGCAAGCCAACGGCAGCGTCGTGGCCGAGCCCATGATCGACGTTCGCAATGTGGCAGACTCTATAGTCCACATCGCGTCGTTGCCTACGGATGTCACTGTCTTGACGTTCAATATCATGTTAGTAACTTCTCCCAATATGGAACATGATCGTCCAGACTCCAGACTTACCTTGGCGTTGGCTGTGCAGGCCGACCACATCTCCCTTCGTTGGACGTGGATGATGGGGCCTGGGCCACATGCGTACATCTTTCGACATTCATGCTGCCCCTTGAGATGTCTCCTGCAACCTGTTTTACATCGACAGTCCATCAAACCATGGTTGATGATCAGCTTTGTACAGCTATATGCTGACCGATAACTCATAGCGAGCATGGGGAGTGTGAGGATGGTAGCAGGTCGTCGCTGTTACACGATCAAAGCAGATGTGCATCGGTTCAACGGCCTCCGATCCATGATCCAACAACCGTCTCGATCATAACCCATGGCACCTCGTCATACGACAGTAGCTACGAATCGTAGCTATACCAAATTCAACCAAAAACCCTACTGTGTATGAACAAGCAGGGCCAGCCCAAATGAAATCCGTTAAGTGCGACAGTCGCTCGTCGGACGACGAGGCTGCCTAGGCTATGATAAGGAGTCCGTGCTGGGGCGGGGTCCGTGCGGCAAGAGCATTACTGGGGACATGAAATAATGGTGTCAAGCAACATAATAACATAGATGGATAGTGTGGTCGTTCGACCGCAGGGCAACAACAGAAAGGACAGAGGATTGAAGCGAGAGCGTCCGGTCGTCCGATCATTTCCCGAGACAGAGGGAGGAAAATCATCACATTTCAGAGAGCGAGGGAACAACGACGAAAGCCTTAGAGGGCGTGGTCGCGGATCTGCTTGCGGCGGCGGTGCGCGGTGGAGTTGGCGGCGACGCAGTTCTTGCCGTCGTCGGAGAGGGCAAAGCCGGCGGCGCACGCCTCGATGATGCACGCGCCGTTCGCGCAGCTGACCGCGTCCACGTTCGGGATCGCGGAGCAGTCGCGGCCGCCGTCGAGGCTCGCCTCGAGCGGGTTGGCGGCGTTCACGCAGCCGCCGCAGGACTCGAGGTCGTTCGTGACGTCGACGCACTCGTAGGTGGAGAGCACGGCGGCGGAGCCGATGCCGGTGTAGACGGGGCACGACTTCCAGCCGGAGCGGCACTGCTTCACGAGGGGGATGTTGCGCTTCCAGGCAGAAGGAGTGGGTCCCGAGGTGATGGCTGCACGCGGGATGGATGTCAGCGTCGGGATCCCGTATCGTGATGCGGGGATTAATGGGTTAGAATTCGGAGAAGATGGAGTGGCGTGGGATAGCAGAGAGCGCAGAGATGCTGGGAAGAGAATTTGCAAGGCAAGGGAGATATGGGGAACTTGCGCACGGCGATGACACGCCGGGAAAGGGTAATGGGGGTATCGGACTTACGGCAAGTTCCATCAGAGTGGTGGAAGGCGCTTCCCATGGCGCCAGGCTGGGCCTTGCAGGAGCCAGGGGAGTTTGAACCAGGAGAGCAGTAGCCACGCTCGTGGCCACCCTGCGGCGGGCATGACTCGCAGGAGCTCGAACCTTCGAAAATCTGTAGGTCATGGAGCCGTCAGTTAGGCCTGAGTAAGACTACTTCAAGCGCAGGGAACGTACGCTGTACCAGCCAGCAGGGCATTGGCAACACTCCGGAGAACCGTGAATGCCGGTGAAGTGGCCAGGAGGGCACTTGGACGGGCCGGAGCAACCCTCTCCGGGGGCGTGCCAGCCAGGTGGGGCGGCGACGCAGTTGGTCGCACCGAAGTCTGATAGAGCGATTCAGATAAACAACGGCCGAAAGGCATGGGTTGACTCAACTAGACTGGTAGTATCCGGGGGGGCACTTGGCGCAAGGCGCGTGGCCGTTGACACTGTAGGAACCTGGGGTTGGAGAGATTGTCAGAGGAGTACATGCCAGCACAGTTGTGATATCACTGACCAGGAGGGCAAGCAGGAGTCTGCTGTCCACTGCCAGGGCCGTAGTGCCTCAGGTGCAGACCAGAGGACATTTCGGGCACGGCGACTGCCGGCGAAGCGACAGCGAGCACAGAGACGAACAGAACGGCGAGGCGAGCGAAGGAGGCAGACATGATTATTTGCTGTAAGACGACGCTCTAAGAAACGAAGGACGAGAGCTGAAAAGCCTCAGTCTAGTATGAGGGGGAAAAGTAACGTTGATGGGGGCAACTGAGGCCGAGGGCTTTATATGGCCATGCGAATGGCTGGACCATGCTGGAACGAAGATCAACATCAGCGGGCTGAGATCCCTATGGAGGAAGGCTTCGATGGAATCCTTACCCGCTCGGTCGTTTGTATTCCAACGTGCCTCGTGAGAAGGCACGGCCTGCAAGAGATATTATCCGTTCTTCTCCTCGGCTTCCAAATACCCAGCGAGCCCATGAATATTCCGAGCTTTGCAAGTGTTCAACGTTCATGGGTCGTTACGGGTCAGGGGCGAACATATGTCATGGTGCTGCCGGCCGGGATGATGAGGAGATGTGATACGGAGGACTTTTGATCGGTCGGCGGTCGTCAGGCGCTTCTGCTGGCTGACCGTGGAAACGCGTAGCCGCTTCAGTGCTTCGTACAGCACTGCACTGACCTTACAGCCCCATCAAGGTGCTCCCGAGCGGGCCGGCCAAGGCCGGCCGCTCGGTCCCGGGAGTTCGTCACAGTTCGTTCGGGTAAATAAGTCTCCGAACTCGCCAAGCAGTAGGTACGTTATTGGTGTCTGTGCCCTGGGCCTTTTGCTCGTCGCCAGTGCTGGAATACTTACTGACTTCTCTGACCACAGAGATTGTGAGCCGCTGCATGGTGCATGCTTGCACTGAGTACTGACTGTTCGTATTGTTCGTCGAGCCGGAAGAGAGAAGATACAATATGGAGACGAGATTACAGGACTAGTGGTGAAGAAACTACGGTAGCCGAGGCAGTGATTCTGTGACTAATGAGACGATTCCGTATGCATCTCCGTAGCTGATTATATATCCGTTCCGTATGCATATCCCAGTGAGTGTTGGATCCGAGGGTGGGTACAGGGGGTTTGTGTCGAGTCTCAAATTAAAGTCGAATGAGGGGGTGAGGGGGGGTATGCTTGACGGCGAGACAATGAGGTGCGGCAGCATGGTATCCTGTCACTGCGTAATTATATGAGGCCGGCGGCCCTCATTTGGCGTAGCATGTTCATGCAGATGTCAAAGTCCCAGGGGGGTACGGCGAGGTAACACTGTGCTTCTTCAAGTGGAATCATGTGACTGAAGACCCAGGAAAGGCATCCCGTCGGCAATTTCTCTTTTTGGCATTCCAAAGCGAGGATGCAGAATGCATGCATGTCTCTTCGGTGCCTCCTTTGACGCACAGCGGAAGTGTGCGTTTTCTTGTACCCGAGGAGGGTATGAGAGGCAAGGGATTTCACGAGCTCATAAATTCAGGCTATCTCCGAGTCACTACCGTCTACACCGTTTCCATCTATCAACGGCCCCCTCTGCGCAATCAGAGACGTAGTGGAATTACCACCTAGTTAGCAAGGTCACGGACGGCGTCTGTGTACGGCACCGTGGACGAAGACCAGCCGCCGAGCGGGTTCTCCGACTATGTCATGCCGCCTCGTTGGTTTCCACGCATCCGATCTTCCCAGCAACGACGATGAGCTCGTTGCAGCCGAGCGCGCACGACGTCTTATCCGGCCACTTAGGACACCTCACGGATACGCAACAGCAGGCGTTCACTACTTTCAAAGAGCATATCACTGCTGCGAACCTGTACAAACCGTCGGCATCCTCGGATACGGCACCATCGCATGACGATGCTACTCTCTTGTGCGCTACCAGATTCACTTTGTTGGCATATACTGTGATCTCACATAAGTGCTTGGATTCAATCCATCGTCAATTTTATCTCCTGGCCTGCCGTGAATCCGCCTGTCCGAACCTCCATCTGTGAAATGAGCCCAGGCGTTTCCTGCGGGCACGTCGTTTCGATCCTGTGAAGGCACAAGAACAATTTGCACGCGCAGAAATTTGGCGCAAACAGCACGATGTGGACCGACTATATGCGGAGTTTGATCCCGAAGAGATGGAGAAGTCTCGTCGGTACTATCCACGCTGGACGGGACGCAGGAGCAAGGTGAGGTTATATGTACTTTCTCTGCTCGAACCCTTCTCTTGACATCTTTTGCTATCGTATAGACTGGACTGCCCCTGTATGTCTACAGATTGGCGTCACTTGCAGGGCAGCGCACGTCTGAGCTGCAAGCTGTCCCAGCGAAGCGAAGATACCAGCGGATGTGAGTCCCTCCAGCCTTCAGCACAGCTTGATCTAACGTGATCTAGAGTTGTACTCTACGAGAATATGTGCCGCTTTATGTTTCCATTTTGCAGTTTCCTACCACATCCCTCTGCTCCTACACCGATCTCCTCGACGATGACGATTATCGACCTCGAAGGCGCCTCTCTAAGCTCGCTGTTCACTCTACGCAATCATCTGGGTGAAGCCAGCAGTTTGGCCACTGCGAATTATCCCGAGACCCTTCAGTGAGTAGCTCGCTCGTTTGTACACGTCGCTGGCACAAGCTGTGTTGGACAGCACGATCTGCGTCGTCAACTCGCCTTCCTACTTCCCCACGATATGGGGATGGATCAAAGGCTGGTTCGACGAGAACACGCGATCCAAGATCTTCGTGCTTGGGAAGGTGACTTCAGCCGCGGATAGCAGCAGCGCATCCGATGCTGGAGCGACGCTCCGCACTCTCGTGGATTCGGCAGACCTCCCGCGCGTGTACGGTGGCGAACTCGACTGGGCTTATGAGGACGAGCCGTCCTTGGACGACGCTGCCAAGGGCGTCCTCGGCGAGGTACCAAAAGGCCCGACTATATTCATCGACGGACAGGCCAAGAAGCCGTAGACTGTGCTGGCCACATAGGAAGTAGAAGTGCTGTTGGAATATCTTGTAGACGGGATGAGCCCCGCACATGTGCAGAGAATCGCGTGTTAGCAGGTTACTAGATTCTCTAGGGTATGTTATCTAATTGTACAGGAGTATTCGATGTATTGTAAAAGTATCATGACGGGCATCGTCTATCGTCCACGAACAACTACGATGGATGGCAACAGTATGATGCATGCCAGACAACAACGTAACAGCAAGATAATAATGATACAGTAAGCACGCGAACCGGAAAGCTACGACAGGTCTAGAACAGCAGGAAGAAATGCGGGGCGATGCGAGCACAGACGTCAGCATATCATTGTCGAGATTTGTAGAAGGGACAGGGAAGTCAAAAGAAGTCGTCGTCCGGTTCCGCTGCGACTCCATCCTCGTTCCATATCTCTAGGAACTGTTATCACTGCATCAGCAAACAAACGAGAGCTGAAACGGGTCATGAAGAAACTCACCCTTGTCCGCTGGACACCTGCGTCCTGCGCGGTTGAAATAGGTGTTTTAGCGAAGGGCAACCGATCCCAGGATATGGGCTGTTCGTGCCGTCTGGTGGCCGGTCGGTCGCCGACGGCGCTTTTCTTCCCTACGACAAACTTGGAACATTTTCTGGCCCATAAACGGATCAGCCGGTGCGTTCAATGGAATGGTGACAAAACGCACTCTTCGGTGATGCTATAGACTGCCTTGAGATGGGATTTGAGCAGCATGATCATGGCCACGACTACAGAGGTGCGAGCCAGCGCGAACTTCTCGTCATCAGGTTTGCCGTCTAGCGGATCCGGGGGTCCGTTAGGCTGATTGGTTGGGGTATCCGTATCCTGACACCACAATGAGCACGTAGCGAGTACATGAGGATATACAGCGCATACCATCAGGATGCCTTGCGATACGCGTGGCGCGCTGTGAAGCTGAGCCAATAGGTGCGAAGGCGACAGAACTTCCAGCAGCTGCATGCCTGCCGTCGATAATATGGAGGTGAGGGACTTGATAATGGTAAGGACTTCTTCTTGGGTTTTGTAGTCGAAAGCCGAGAAGTTCTCCGTCATGTAACGTGTGAATTCAACATCATCCTAGGGCTCGTGTTCAACGCTGCGACCAATTGAGCCCGGAATAGCCTACCTGCGTGGTCGCGAAGCTGGAGTTTACTTCGAAGACCTTCACCATAGCCTTCAGAAATTCCTGTCTTGTCGCTCTCTTCTCCCGAACATGAGAATACCAGGATTGTAGTAAAGCGGTTGGGCCGGGTTGCATACGGTAACCTGCCATAGGAGTAAGTACCGTTAGCCATGAACGATAGAAAAGCGGGTCCACCTTGTATGGGACCGTTGGCAATACGCTTCTGGAAAGCATACGATTCTTTGGCAGTGGCAACGAAGCGCGTGTTGATGATTGACGCATGCTTGGTGTTCATGATTGAGTGTAGAGCGTTTGCTCTTGCGCATAACGCCGCGTTGGCACTAGTCTCCAGAGCAACAATAACAGGGAATGACTTGTAACAACATAAATCGACTTGAAAGGTACGAAAATGATATAAGCGTACCGTTAAAGGATGGGTGAGTCCTTGCTTGATCGTGAAGCTCAGTATATCCACGGCCGATGCCTGGATAGATGCATTCGTCGAAAACGCCGCTTGGAGAATGGGATTCATATAACGCTGAACAACGGCAGAGGCCACACTAGAGGTAGATGAGTTATCACCCCAGGCTTCTCCAATAGGGACGTACCCAGACTCCGCAAACTCGCCCGTGTTGCCGACCAGCTGATCCATATCGACGTTCGCACCTGCAGCCTTGGGAGCATCATTGCCTGTGAATAGTAAGCATTTGATAACCGCATGAGATCCAACACGCACTCCTCTCCTTAGAGGCATCCTTTGCAGCCTGGGAGAGTAGGAAGTCTTGGATGATCTTCAGTAGACGACCTCGACCTTCTTCATCTGGCGACGTGAATATATCATCCATCACGCTTGCAGAGTCATTTGCGGTCATGAACGTAGGCTGCGCTCGGAAGAGGAATCCTGGGTGGATTGTTAGCCTGGGAACAGCGGAGAGGAATATTATGCCATATGCCATACCAAGGCACTGCAGAATGCAGCCGCGAACAGCGGGATCGTCCCTTTTCTTATATAGATTAAGCAGGTTGTAATAGATGTGTTCTCGGATTGGACCCTGATATAAGTTAGTCATCAAAGGGATAAGTTATCAAGCTCGCAGATGCCTACCGTAGAAATAGCGTCCAATTGCGGAGATAAATCTTTAGGCAGCGTCAGTCATGCTTGAGAAGATCAACGAACGTCAACCGTACCTGGGTGGTCCTGACCGATGCGATCGAAATCACAGTGTTCGACGAGGAGTGAAACAATCATGATTATCATGGATAGAGAACGACCATCGATGCCTTTTCCCGGTGGAGCCTTCAGCGTTGGTTGCAGCCGGCCTTATTGACACTAACATTGAGTAACATGGTAACATGGCAGTAAGCACGCTTACCCTCGCATGACTTCAGCAGCATCACCAATGCTTTGTGATCGTGCGTCAAACTGTCCACCACAGAACAAAGGCACGCCACGCTCTCTTGTAGACTCTAAAACCGGGATGACGCGAGGTATCGCAATCTCAGTAATGAATAACTCACGCCAGGCTTAGTCGGTTTGATGACCATCTTCTGCAGGGTAGACTGCAAGTCATGCCCGAATTTGACTGCGGTCTTGGGCAAATGCGGCACAGTCGCGCGGAATATCTTGAGGACGTATTCCGCGGCTATTTGACGTTCAGGCTGAGCATGCGATAGGTACTGAGCGACTGGGTTACTCTACAGACTATCATGAGAACGCACCGTTGACGCGTCATTAAGATAGGGCAACAGAGCAGAAGCATTGGAACCTGATAAGACTGCTGGATACGCTGAGGTGAAGAGATAGATTGTTCGCGTGCAATCAGTCGCATTCTATGAAGGCAGCAGTCAGTGAATTCCTGTCACAAAAAAGGGCAGGAACTCACGAAACCAGGCAGGCAGTCGATTAAGCCATCCAGTAACGCTTCGCATACCTCCGTATAACGCGCGTGAAGTGCCGATGCATCACTACCAGTTTTACCTGCCATGATCTTATGTAGCATTTCCTCCAATGGCGACTGACGATCCTTGAAGTTGGCGGATACCCCCATGATGACGGCGGTCTTGGCAAAAACTCTGGTCTTGTCGTCGGTCCGCCCGGAGGACCTCGGTTTCTGCGGAGCCAGAACATCGGAGCTATCCGTAAACCATAATTCCTCCAGTGTCCTGGTGGCCAGATCCTTCACAGAGTCATCTTCGTCGTACATCCGCAGGACCAGTCTGGTACATATATCGATCTGGCGTTTCGGCTGATCCGTCACACTGTAGAAGGATTTCAGCAACTTGATGACGCGTTTACGAACTCCCAAGCCAACGTCCTGTGATTCTATCGTCAGATCATAGTCGGGCGAAGAGCGAGAGGTACTTGCAGCCACGCGGTCTGCGATCTTCTGGTAATAGTCCCCGGCAACCTCGGGAGAGTCAACCATATACTTCCCGATGAGCTCTACTGCCGCATCTCGGACAGCAGGAGAAGAGTCGGATAAATGGTCCTCAATTGCGCGTCTGACGTTAGCCATCGATAGAACGGAAGGATCACTGGTAACAATCTGGCCTAGAGCCCGCAGCGCTTTGGTGCGCATAAACACAGGCGGAGCGTCCAAGGCGGCGAGAATAACATTCAAGACGGGATTGAATGAGTTCCTCAAACTCTGCAGAGTACCAATTTCCTCCGCTAGGCGATCAATGCGAGCCACCTCATCCTGAGAGCTAAGGAAGCAATTAATCATAAACACGAATTCCACACGCGTAGCACGACCCACCCTACGTCGAACACGTCCATCGCTGGGTCCTTCCAGACGTCACGTAGGGTAGCTTTCAGCTTAGCGCCGAATGCGATGTCTTTGGTCCGGTCGGTAAGAGGTCCAATGTCGTCCATCTCATCACCGATGACTTTATCCAACTGTTTGAGAGCTTGGGCTAATTCCTGACCCCATATGGCTGCAATCAACTCTCTGGCACTCTGCAAAGACGTAAATAAGCCACTGATGAAGTGCGTTCGAGCCTTGCATTACCTCACATGCCTGGTCTTCCGAAGACCGTTTGCAAAGGTGGGAGACAACAGCCTGATGGGCATCTGCGAGTTCAGCGAAGAGTTTGGAATTGCGTGAGGAGGCGATCTATGTCACAATCAAACTCAAGTCGAGGTAGCTTTGAAGGCGGTCATGGCTTACCTCGTCCATGGGGGACAACGGATGATGATCTTCCTCTTCCGTTTTTACACCAGAACGATGTTTTAATACGCTGGCACGGATCCTAGAAGCAATAACGCCTAGATGATCTAACGAGATCGCCTTTGCCGCGTTGTTTTCAGTTTGACTGATCGACTTCACGTCGCTCAACGAAGTCACCTATCCCTTCAAGTCAACACCTATATCACAGCACTGAACAGATGTCGACACACCATGAACTTGCATGCAACACTAAGTAACAAGCCTGCAGCGGGCCATTCGGGCCAGAAGAGCACCGTGAGCAAGTCATTGATGAGGTTATCGAAAATAGCGCGATATTCGGCTTCGTTAGTGTTCTTCGTTGTCTTGCCTTTTCCGGACCTCTGGGTCAGGAATAAGATGATCGTTTTGGCGGACGTCATTGCAGACTCAAGTCCGGAAGTGTACAGCTGAATCTCCTATAAGGCTCGTGAGTGAATGTGTTGGGATGGCAATACCGCATTGACGTCACCTGGCGATCCTGCTGGTCCAGGAAAGGCTCATCTTCTGGTACAGGCCCGCGGCTCGCTCCGTTGATACTTTCTTGACGTCGAAGCGCGAGCTGTTGAACGCGCGCCTTGCCCAACCTCCGCGCTTCCATACGAACGTCATGTGCCGACGTCTGGACTAGCTGGAGCAACAAAGCGGAAACAGTCCGAATCGACCTGCCGTCGCGCAAACTGATGAGCGAATTACGTCAGGACAGATTCATGGGGTGAAATATTTCAGAGGCTTCACCGGAATTGCCCAGCCTTCTGTTTGGTGTCCGAGAGTTTGATTAATGAACCGAGGATCTCTTCGATGATCCACTTCCTTTGATCACCGTGATTTGCGAAAATCTGTGAGGTGCAGATGTCATTGTCGCGACTATTGCACGTGCATGAAGTTGCTTACGCTTCGAATGAGCGAGAGCGCATCGAGCCTTAAACCACGCATTGCGCTGTTTCCTAGAGTATGCAGCACGACGTTGTCCTTCTTCCCCTTCGTATCTCCGTCACCACCATCGGCTACAAAGAATGGCCCGATGGCAATGTAAACCGCTTGAATAATCAGGCTCTCGCTGAGCGTCACAGCGTCGAGGGATACGAGGTCGGTAATACGTGGAAGGGCAGCAGCGACAGCTTGAAATGCTTCGGCTAGTTGCCGCCTGTGTGACTTGGAGAGCGCGGAAGACGTCAGCGTGAGGTGGTGAAGGATGGGATTACGAAGGATGCTTTGTGTATCGAATGAGGCCTCCACGAAGGGATATACGAGTTTCGTGAGCTGAGTTTTGACCGTTTCGAAGCAGGAGGCGATGAGATCCTCCGTGTACAGCTGCTTGTTCAGTCTTCCACTGCCGAGCAACGAGAGACAGCAATCAGCTGCGGCAACGCTGTCCTTCGCAACCTCTAACGCCCTCGTAAGCCTGTCAAGGTCTTCCTCAGTTGCCTCCAAAGCAACTTCGTCCTCTCTTGCGCCTTCCGTCCTGCAAGCATCGCCGTTGGCTTCACCGTCTCCTTCTGGTGAGCCAGATTTCGCTCTATTGCTAGATGCAGGTTTCTTCTTCGTCCCTTTTCTCGATTTAGTGGGGCTCACACCGGCGGCGGTACGGGTGTTTGAACCAGAAGCAATAGGCCCTCCTAGCGGCTCGAGGTCCTCTCCAGCCTTCACACTGCGCTTGAGTATCCCCAGGACCCTCGCTAGGAGAGTGGAATCCACGTCCGATATCCCGCCTTTTGCCTTGATGGGGCTCCCGACATAGTTCTCCGCGAGTCTGGCGCGCTTGTTTGGATGGGCTACTTGGCTGATGTACTTGGTCAACTTGCGAACGATGTGCGGGGCAAGATAAGGTTTGGAGGGATCAGCAGACAGGGGCGAGAACCAGTCTGACGGTAGATCCGAGACCGAGATGTCGGCTGGTAGGCAGTCCTCAGCTTCGAAGATATCCTCAAGGAGTGAAGTAAGCTTGTCTACGGGTGCTAGTAAATTATCCTTCAGCAACTAGCGATCGACGAGCAGCATAGAGATAGAAAGCCCACCTCGTTCATCGCGATCGCCGGTGCGTCGGCTCGTGGTGAGGACAACTTCGAGCCTATTATGGGGAGGGCGCCTGCTAGGAGTGGGAAGCTGGTCGTCTTGGTCATAACCACCCAGATCTTCTCCGTCGTCGTCGACTACCATCGGAGACCCTGTCTTGGCCGCCGTCTTAGACTTTGTCATAGGCGTAACAACCACATCATGAATACGGGCGTCATTATCGCGTTGTGATATGGAGGAAGGTTTCATCAGGTGCTTTCCCTTATGTCTAGAAGGCGGGAGCTCGACCACAACCCGCATACGACCGCCTCCATTGCTGGGCGTCGATCCAGAGCGTCCATATCGGGAAGGAGTATTCAACGTCGAGGTGGTTAATGGAGGCTTGGATGATGCCCCGTTGACAGACGAGGGTTTGACGGGCACCTCCACATATGCAGAGGGCCTGGGGAGACTCGTGGATGACGAGATGCGCTTGATGGAGGGGGATTCCAAGGGTTGTTCAGCTTTGCGTTTTTGCGGAGTGTGGACGCCAGCTGAGCCTAGAGCAAGCGGGTCAGGCGATGCCCACGCTGGCGCAACGGAGCCTGACGGTTGAGCGTAAACTTCATGTTGAAGGTGGGAGGCACGGTTTCGTGACGCAGAAGACGAAGGCGTCCTAGGTACCGACACGGTAGGCAGTGGCTGGGTCTGATTGATCTTAATCGGTGAACGGTTCCCGTTACTGGCGGATGACCGTCCCGCGTCCATCCTCTGTTTCGTCTCCTTGACAAAGTCATCGAAGAAAGCTGATGACTGCTGGGGTTGGTAAATTGGTCCTTGGGTCGCATGCGGCCGGGGGGCTGGGTTCGGCGCGGGATCACCAAGAGCTCCCGCAAGGGACGAAGAGGAAGAGTACATAGAGGAAGGTGGCGGCGTAGGGTATGAGGAAGCTGGCGCAGTGTGTTGGTATATTGACGAGGCGAAGGCATTAGGTTGATAGCCATGCGAAGACGATGATGGACCAGGCGTCCAATACTTGGCAGAGGACTGAGACCTGAGATGGCCATATTCGAACAGCCTGTTAACTACGGTATCAGAGAGAGTGGCATAGACGCACGATGGTCCCTGATTCCCGAGGAGCCGCAATGCGTCATCCCTGGTCTCTTTCCAGTATCCTCCACCTGGTCCTTGACCATCGTGTGTGGCGAGATAGCTCAACTCGTTCGAATATGGCTGCGCGTGACTATATGCGCCATTCTGGTATTGATACGAAGACCCCTGATCGTATGAAGGAGCGGCATAATAGCTGGGTTGAACATAGGACGGAGGGTTGGCCGTGATCGTCAAACTACTCAGATGCCTCGCAACTTTCGAGGAGCATGAGTATATGCGCGCGCTCGTTGTTCAATTTCCCGCACTAACCGTGAGTAGTAGGTGTGCTAGATACCGGCGGATACATTGCGTGTAGTCTCTGGGCGTCTTGCACGGCATCTTGCGCATAGCTTGCATGACCGTTCCTGTTCGATATAGGAACACCTTGCGGATAGTCGTAGCCGCCTTGCGGAGGATATCTGCCAGACATGTTCAGAGTTACAGCCTCAGCCGTACGAAAATAGGTTAGAAGGGTTGAATAGAGGTGCCCTGGCTGGCACTGGACGCGCTCGCTACGGGACGCGCGATTCGCGAACGCGGCACCGGAGCAAGGAGAAGTGGGATCACGTGATATCTCTCGCCCCCAGATCCTGAATTTTCGGACTTTTACTCTTCGCATAACCTCTGACTTCAGGGATTGACTTGGCTGGAGTCCTCCAAAGACACTGTGCTGGCCGGTGCCTGCGCGTCTGAAATAGCTCATGTCTATCGGGGCTACGATACAAACCAGCAAAATGGTCCATGCCAATGGCACGCCAAAATCCAAGATCCTGAAGCGTGGCCCGGCTTGGATGGATATGCCGGACGATCACTCGATGCCCAACGGTGTCGATGGCAGGTCATCCAACGGAAGGAGCGTGGACATGCCACTCAAGAAGAAAGCCAAGCATATACGGACGAGGCAAGACACCCTGGCGGCGCGGCGAGCACAGCTCCCCATAGCAGCAGGTGAGTAATTCTCGTCTATCCCCGGACGTGTCAACCGCGGTACCAGCCAACAGCGTTGCAGGAAGGGAGGCGCTCGTTCATGAGGTTTCATCTCGAGATGTCATCATACTTCTCGGCGAGACCGGTTCCGGCAAAACTACCCGTACGCTCCTCCTTACAGGCAACTGCAATGTCCTCACCCATGCTCTCAGAAATTCCTCAATATATTCTAGAAAGTGATGTGGCTCCCTCAGGCATTATTGGAGTCACGCAGCCGCGCCGTATCGCAGCCACCTCGCTTGCTGTTCGTGTCGCCCTCGAGCAACAATCGACAGTGGGAAAGCTTGTCGGGTACTCAGTGCGGTTCGATGAAAAGGCCAGCGAAGATACGAGGATCAAGTACATCACGGATGGAATGCTTGTTCGTGAAATGCTATCCGACCCGCTTCTGTCACGATACAGCGTGATAATCGTCGACGAGGCACATGAGCGGACGTTGCGGACGGATCTACTGCTTACAAATTTGAAGAAAATTCTCGTACAAAGGAATACTCCTACCGACCGGAAAGGCAAAGGCGCCGCATCGAAACTTAATCCTCTGAAAGTGGTGATAATGAGCGCAACTCTGGATGCCGAGAAATTCAGCAAATTCTTCGATAAGTGCGCCCACAGTCCGCGTTACCTGAAGCTTCCTGTTTTGACGCACCCAAAGCGCCAAAATTGTTTACGTCAAAGGTCGACAGCACCCCGTCCAGATCTTCCACGCGACGACTAGCGTATCCGACTACGTTGACGCTGCGCTCCGCACGTTCTACCAGATCCATGTTGATCAACCTCCGGGAGATGTGCTCATCTTCTTGCCAGGTATTACACACAATCTGTTCGCGCGTCCTCTGGACTGAGCCAAAGTCAAGGACAGGAGGATATCGACAGTTTAGAGAAGTCTATCAGCATGTATGCTAACAAACTTCCTCATAACACAATGGCGGTAACGCATCCCACGTCCTCTTCATTTATTATAGCTTGACTAATTTCTTCTCGCACTGCAGGTCCGTACATATCCCATGTACGCCTCCTTGCCTCCATCACATCAATCCAAGATGTTTGAATCTGTCCCGCCTAATACTCGAAAATGTATCATCGCCACCAACATTGCCGAGACCTCATTAACCATCCCGGGCGTGAAGTACGTTATTGACTCAGGGAAGCACAAGGAGAAACGCTACATTGCTGTCGAGAATGGGATTGGTAAGAGTTATGATTTTTGTCGCAGGGTTTGAGCTGATTCGGAATGAAGGTTTCGATACTCTCTTAACGCGGGACATCTCAAAGTCATCGGCCATGCAACGCGCGGGTCGCGCTGGCAGAGAGGTAACTCCTCCCTGAATCCAACCGCATACGACCTCATGGACCTGCCCAGGGAAAAGGTCTATGTTTTCGGCTGTATACGGAAGCTGCCTTCAACGCCTTACCGCTCGCGTCCGAGCCCGAGATTCTGCGGTGCAATCTCTCCGCAAGCGTCCTCGAGCTCAAATGCCTGAATCAGGATCTCGAGAAGCTTACCTTCATCGACGATCCCGATTCTGATGCGGGTAAGTCCGAAACTCGGATTAACGATTCATCATATGGTTCGCTGATTGTGGTTATCACAGTCACTGCAGCCTTGCACTCTCTTTTCATACTCGGCGCGATTGATCAAGCACGCACCCTCACCAAGATAGGGAGGGATATGGCTGCACTACCTCTCGAACCCACCCTGGCCCGGATCGTCCTCGCCTCCAAGGACCATCAATGCACCTACGAGATCCTGGACATTATCTCCGTTCTCTCGTCCACCTCAAAGCTGTTCTTGGACCCTTCGGACCAATCACAGCGAGACGCAGCCGGCGATGCTCGAAGGACGTTCATGCACCCCAGCGGTGATCATATGACGATACTCAATGCTGTACGAGCATACGACGAGTTGTGCTCTTCCGAACAACCGGGCGAAGGCAAAGCGATGAGCAAAGACAAGGGCGTCAGGAAAGATTGGTGCAAGCGCCACTGGGTGAACGAACGCGCTCTGAAAGAAGGGATCGCGATCCGGGAGCAGCTCAGGCGTGTATGCGAGCGGTTGGGTGTAGACTGGAAAGTTAGCTTTGGCGAGGACGATACGCCCATCTTACGAAGCTTGCTACGAGGTTTGGTCCAGAATTCAGCACTGTTACAGCCGGATGGTAGTTATAGGCAGGTGCTGGGACGAGCGGTACGTGCTGCTACTCGGTTGTTGGATCAAGAACGCTGCTCATAGGAACCTTCGCGCAGACCGTCAAGGTCCATCCTGGATCTGTCCTCGCGGACAAAAAGGCTCCGGCGATAATATATAACGAACTTGTGGGTGTATATCGGAATCTTGGAGTGTGCCGTACCTAATTCATACGTTACCCAGGTCCATACCACACAAATGTTTGCTCGCACCGTGTCCTCTGTCCCACTGAGCTTCTTCAAAGAGATCGACAGCTTAAAGCCTGCAAAAGGGCGATAATTGACGAGCTCCAGGACTTGGTTGTGATAAACGTGAATAACTAGCTTTTGTCGCAAATGCTTCGGTAGCGTTCAATTGCATGCCTCAACTAGTATTGATCTCGGTAACGTATCATTATGCATATAGACTGTCCAAGCTGTCATCGTAATGTAATATCAACATGCTGCCAAAGGCGAGGCTGGGGTTGTGTGTAGAGGTGTTCATCATTCGTAATGCGATCCGCGTTTCAGCGCGAGACGCCGTATGAGCTCCGAACCAGCGGAGAGGGAAGGTGGGAAGGGGTCATTTTGGAGCGAGGAATGCTAGACACGCTCCCCTTCACTGTAGGCAGTCGCTGCATGGTAGGTGCGTCGAACGTGACATGTCTTGGCGTCTAAGAGATGCGTCAGCTCGCCCGTACACGGGGTAACGCGAGCATAACCCACATTTTTGCCGAATCTCTCATTCAAAACTCCAGATCTGTCCCTGAGCGGGGTGCGTGGCGGTGTCTTGGATTTGCTCTTGGGTAAAGCAGCAACAGATGAAGAACGCGCCACTTTCCCGGTCAGTGTTGATTGACTAGTCTTGCGGCGGACGCTTTTCGAACTTTGGCTGGCAGACAAAGTGCCGATGTGGGCCATGGCCGGGTTCGAATTTTCTGAGGGCGCGGATCTGACAGGGAGGACGATCCTGCGAGCTGCGGAGACGGAGACGGCTTTTGCCATGGAGGTCGGATGCGGCGTGGGCTTACGGATCAGGGAGACCACCGTGGTTCCCTCTCCTAGGTTTTTGCCATCATTGCCGTACTGTGTCTGCATCGATGCATCTGACGCCGTAGAGAATTCAGACGACGAAGACGGGAAGGAAACCATAGTCGTTCCGATCGCAAGCAAAGAAGCAGATGTGACACCGTTCCGCGAGGGAGAGAGACCAGATATCCGCCGGCGACGCTCTGAGATGCTGATCGATGGCCTGTGTCTATGATGCCCGACCCGTCCTACCGAGAAAGACCTCCTATGCTGGCTTCGCTTGCGACGCTCTATGAGTTCCCCGAGGGCCTTCTTCCTGTCCTCGCTGAGCGTCTCCTCTTCGATATCCGGTAGACCACTAGAACTCGGCGTGATGATAGCTGTCTCAGACGAGTCCACTTCATGAGATCGCGCGCGTCGTTCCCAATACTTGCACATCTTCCTCCAATGACGAACTTCGCGCCTCGCGTGTAATGTGAGCCGGAGAGAGCAGACATATTTGTCCTTGTCGTTCACTTCGCTCGGTGCCGAGTCCGACGTCTGGATCCCAGATGCGTCCGCTTGTATCCCTGCTTCCGCGTAGGTCACGATCCTTTCCCGGCTGGCTTGGGGCGACGCTTCTTGTTTCCTATCACTCGAGTTGCGAGCAGGATTGTCGACTAGAAGGGCACTGGGCTCAAAGGCCACAGGTATACGTGACTCGAGTTCTTGGATGCGGGTCTCTAAGAGCGCGATGTGAATACAGGCAGCCTTCAAATCGGAAAAGCGTTCGAGCGATTTGAAAGCAACTGGTCCATGGTCCTGAGTAGCGCGATCAACTTTGGGTTTGGCTAGGCCGAGGTGATCAGACGATGAGCGGGCAACGGTCAAAACGGAGCCACCCGACGAGCATGTTTCCAAAGCCGGTAAGAGACTGGGCTGGGTAGATGGCGGTTTGTATGCATGATAGCTCGGAAGTCGTTCGTTGCCGGCGCAGAAGGACGGGATAGTGTCGTCGGAACTACTCAAAGCAATGTTCTCGCTCGCAGCGTGCGAGCCCTTCTTCTCAAAAGTAGTCCGCGCATCTACCGGAGCGCTCTTCGTTCGCCGATGGCGGAGAAAGTGGAATGGATTGATCTTGGAGAGGGCGGAGCTGGATGAATGCGTGGAGTCGCGTACGCGTTTGCGAGATGATGGATCGGATTTCGTCCTGCGGTGGCCGAACCAGCCAAGATTCCAAGGTTTGGACGTCATAGAGAGAGCATAAACACCAGGTTCTCGACTGTGGATTAGGATTGGTAGACGTGCAGGACGGCGATAGTGATTGCAAAGATGAGGAGACTGTTCAAGTTCGACTGTCGACAGTGCAACGCCAGGCGATCGTGGTAAACCGGTCCCTAAAAGGATATTCCCCTGGCTCAGGTTTTCACGGCTGACAGCAGCCGTTCATGCTCAGTCGACATCTCACATAGATCAGCGCTAGAGGTCGCTATACTCTGGCCCGCAATCAAGCATGCTCATACATATGTCAATAAATAACATGGGACTCGTTCTGGAGTCTGACGACACCTACGGTCATGCTCGGCCGATCGGACTTGCAGATTCGCGTCCGTGTTAGTACTCGTCAGCACTAGTACTAGAAGAGGTACGGGTACTTTCTCCTTGCTAGCTTTCTGTATGTATTTCCTCTGAGCACTTCCCAGGCTATGACCTGACCATCGGCCGAAACGTTGACATCTGCCGACCGCCACTCTGACCGAAGGCACTTCCGCTGTGTGCGCGAGCAGCACTAATTACAATATTCGTCCGCACGGAGTCAGCTAGCGGAGAGTCTTCCACCTGTTATCTCACCTCACCTTACGCTGCTCTGCTTTTCTGGATTTTCGGCCGAACGCAACGTTCCCTCATCACTCTCTCCACACTATAAATATCAAAACGAGATCAAGGTTTATAGTCCACTCACGCTCGATCTGCAGACAATGGCGCCTCAAGGCGAGGACAGCTGGTCCGCGGACGCGTACAATAAGACCGCCTCCTTCGTCTATTCGCCGGCATTCACCAGCCCTGTTTTGACGCTCCTGGACGCCCAGCCAGGCGAAAGGATCATTGACTTCGGCTGCGGTAGTGGCGAGGTAACCCTGGAGCTCCAAAAAACCGTTGGCACCGGAGGTCTTGTAGTAGGCTCCGACAGCAGCGAGAGTATGGTACGTGACGCTTCCTTGGCAGACCACGAAATTTGGCACTGATTTCCGACCTAGATCGCCAAGTCAAAGGCAAATGGGCTTCAGCACGCGTTAGTGGCGGACGCACAGTCCATACAGTTCCCGCCAGACTGGGACACGACCAAGGAGTTTGACGCCGTATTCTCAAATGCCGCCTTGCACTGGTGCAAGCGCGACCCAGCCGGAGTCTTGGGAAGCGCCAAGAGCGTTCTCAAACCTGGGGGCCGGTTCGTGGCGGAGATGGGCGGGTTCACCAACTGCGTCGGTCAGTCGATGCTGAACTACTTCGGAGATGTAAACGCTCTCTGACGACTTGTTTGTTCGTAGGCGTGCGCGCTGCTCTTCACCATGTCTTGCACAAAAGGGGCTATGATCCAGATGCGCTCGATCCATGGTATTTCCCCTCGCCAGCAAGCTATAAGCGCTTGCTGGAGTCGTCTGGCTTCGAGGTCGTTGAGATCACCCTCAACCCGCGCTTCACGCCTCTTAACGGGCCCTTGGTTGATTGGCTGAGGTTGTTCTGTAGGACTTCGTGGTTGGCTGCAATAGACAATAAGGAGGCCGAAGAGATCATGTATGAGGTCCAGGACATGTGTAGGGTGGATTGCATGGACAGCGACGGCAACTGGGCGATAATGTATACAAGATTGAGATTCAAGGCTGTTCTACCACAATGAAGTGGTCCATTTTATGTAGAGAACAGGGTATATATGTGTTTGTGTCCATGCAACCTGATAGTCAGACAGAATTGTAAATGTCACAGTGAGTTCGACATCAGCGCGTGGGTCACTCAGGAGTAAGCTGAGCTTCCCAACACTTCACTTTCAATTTTGCTGCCATTCCTCACCTGCATTCGCTGGCAACATTCCAAGCACCCACAGATACAATTTCGCTAGGCTGAATACACCCTTGACCAAGAGGAATGAAGTCCTCAAGTACAGTATGCGCTCACCTTAAGAGGTTGAGCCACCGTGAACACCAGGTTGAAGTGATGATCCTTGTCGAAGTAACCGCCGTCGCCGATAGCAACACTGTCGAAAGGGGGAGGGCTCTCTGAAATTTCTCATCGGCCAAACGAAGAAACTCGTTTATGCAAGAACTGGTATTCAACCAGTTCTTGTACGTCTAAGCAACAAGGTAGGAGCTTGAAAATGCGGCAGATTGGCTGAACGGGGAGAATTGAGGGAGTATGCGGAGCTTGAGCAATGATGATCCACCATCTTAAGCTTCCGCACCACGACTGCGATTCACAAAAAGGTGATCAATGAGAGCAGTGTCGAATGCAACACAGAAACAACCAATCATATGCGTATTTATATAGACCCACAGTTTATCGCAGCATGGCGCGCATATACGGTGTATAGCCAGAGAGATGACAGAGAACCGGAGGCACCGAAAGTAGAACGTGAGTCTGCCTCACCAAGTCGTCTTCATGAAAGGACAACCTTATTCTTGTTCCTCCTGTAGCCTGTGTTCAGTAGAGAATCACATCTGAAATGAGAACGATCATATGCATATTGCTGTCGCCGTAAGAGCCTGATGTCTCCCGGAGGTAGCGCCCTCTGACGGGAATTACCGAGATTACTGTGACGCGGGCAAAGCCGAATAAGGCTAAGGTGCGTTCACACGGTAAGATTCTCGAGCGGCACAACAAGAGAGAGTTCACGTCTCGATTGAGCAACTCGAGGTAAGATACGAAACCAAAAGGTGAGGCCCTCGCGACGAGGCTGCTTGTCTTTTATACCTCGTCGCGAGCCCTTGAGCATATGGAAGTGGAGCAAAAGGATCAAACAGTCAAAAGGCGCATCAGCGCCGGATGCTAGAAAAGGAAAGAAGTTCTCGGTCTCAGCCTTCGGCCGAACCGGCACGTAACATCCGCCCTCCCGAAGTGGAAACCGCTTCGCCCAACAAGGTAATCCTCCGCCTCGATCCCTCGACTACACTCCCCGGCGCGTATTCTTCTCTAATTCTCGCTCCCGACGGCGCTGTTGAGCGCGCATCTGTCCACGCAGCGCCTGCACTATAGCGAACTGAATGACATCTTCATCGACCCCTAATGCGCCGATTGACGCGCTCGACGATCCCGCAACCACGT